ACAAAACCACCCTACAACTCAACAGTTACATCAAACATATTAGCAACAACAACAACAACGCAAATCTCAACAAAAACATCGCATTCCTCACCAACAACATCTTTCAATTCAACGATATCAACTTCAAACATCGCGACAACAGTTACACTAACAACACTAACATTTCTTACTACAAAAACTACCCTTACAACAGTCTCAACAACAACAACAACAAAAGTTTCAACAATAACAGAAACTGCAATAATTGGTGAAAACAATTCAACAACACCATCAGGCACAGCATTTACTACCTCACCAACAAAAGCATCCACATCTCACATTGTTTCACACAACAATACATCTTCTACAAGAGCGTTCACAACAACAACAACATTAAATACAACAACAACTATAATATCAAATGTAACAACAACAACATTAATCACAACTATAACTTCAAATATGACAAAATCAACATTAAACTCGACAACAACAATAAGCACAGCAACAGCATTAATCACAACCACAACTACAACATCAAATATAACAACAACTACAACATTAAACTCAACATCCTTAACGACGCCAACAACAACATTAACAGCATCATCAACAACAAACACAACAGTGACGGCAACATTATTGAACATATCAGCATCATCAACAACAAGCTCGACTCAGATTTCAAACTTCACTTCAACATACACAACAAACCTAACCACCACCGCACCCACTACTACTACAACCAAAAACACAACCGCCACTACACCCGCCACCACCACCACAACAAACACTTCATTCACCACCACCAACAACACTTCCACTCATTTCACATCCACTGGTTATAACACACGCTCAGCCACAAACGTTATCACTCCTAATAGCACCAACTCTACCATTACAACCAGTACGATTTTCCATTTTGTAAGTACCAAGTATCTCACATTTTCAAGCGCGGTGGGTGCGGGAAATGTGACTAACGCCACACTTTATACTAACTACTACAGCCACACATCTATTTTTAGCAGCAGAAGTAGCAGTACTACCTACGCTACTGCTGCTGCATCCACGAGGTTGATAATTTTGATGACATCGACACCCAAACCTGCCTACGAAAGAATCCCCGTTGGTTAGAGAGCGAGAGGGTTTACATCACGATGCTTATTTATTGTCACTATCACCATCATTCACCATCATTATCACTCACCAATAAAATTTCAAGTTGATAGAAAATATTTCTTCGATTCATCATAGTTTGTCCAAAGCCTGCAAATTTGAGATGCCATTCGGCCGTAGTCGAAAGGCCGAGTGGTGAATAACCCCCTATTTTGGAAACAAACAGTTGGCAATTTGTGACTATCTAACAATTCTTTGTCAAAATAATATTTAACCTCATGTTCAAGTTCAGACGCTTCGACAGCTGCGATGGCAAAAATAAAGTTTCCACTAATAATATTAAACAATTGGTGTTCTGGAATTAAAAAAAACGTCATGGTTTTCGTGGAAGTTGCACTGTTGGGCCTTTAAATGGCCAAACAGCAAAAAGTCAAGTTTTGCCAAACATTCTACTGGAAGTGCTCATCTCATATCAGTTCCGTCAGTTGCCTTCTCACGGAATGACTGTTGGTGGAATAACTTTTAGTCCACTGACATTAATTCAGCTCAGTTGAATTTACATCAGCTCACAATTTTTTCTAATTTCTTCCACGCCAGGGATTAACAACGTTTATTTTGTTTTTCATAAAAACTCACTGTTACAACAAAATCAAAAATTTAAACGGTGCAAGAACTTTTCTATTTATTTTATTACCAGTTTAGCTGCTGTCACCTTCAAACAACACATTTTACAAATATGATGATAAGCCATATTGTATTAAATCAAAATATTGAAAATGCATAAAGTGGTTACAAACAGTAATATATATTTATTATAAACTATAACACATGCAATAATGTTGAAAGCATGTTCATTTCTTCGATCACCGTATGTTTGAACCTTCAAGTGAGAAGCAGCGTCATGTGAAATCTTTTTTACGTCACTGTTGTTGAAAGATTAAACTTGAAATTACCAGAAAAATATTTATTGCTACCCCTCTGATGATTAATAATGTAAATTAAATAAATACTCTGTGAATTAAATTTCACAATACACGGAGCGAAGTTTTTTTCAGATGCAATTGAATAAGTGGACAAGTACTAGCAGATTTTATTTAAAGTGGATGCTATTTTTGATTCACATTTCATTTTGTTTGGATATTTATCACGATGTGCCCTTTGAATGCACTCAATCACGCTTGCAATCACCTCACGTATTAAATGATCATATTACTACTTTAACGATTTCACAGTTTTTGAAAATTTTCACCATAAACATCTATTTCTGCTCCTCATTGAAATTAATAATTGAAATCATTGATAATCTTTCATTTGAAAACCTGTCCATCATATCAATATTTCAATGTTGTTTCCAAATAATTCATTTAAAATCATTTTTCATTTCAGCTTCGCTACCACCATATTTCCTCACTTGTCCTCCGAGCCAACAAATTTTCTTCACAAACTCATCGTCATCATCATCACCACCCTCCTACCCAATTTGGTGGGAACCCCCGCAACTGAACCCCACCCTTGACGATTACACGACCACCCACCTAACCTCGAACTTCAAACCTGGAAACCCCTTCCAAGCTGGCCTCCACCTCGTCAACTACACGACCACCAATCAATATGGCCTCCTGGCTACCTGTCTATTTAACATCACTCTGACCATGCTGGGTTAGTTAATGTTGTCTCATTGAGATGTTAATTGAAAACCATTGAAAAAAAAATTTGCACTTTGTTCATTCATTAATACGAATGTGGATAAACTTTGGATAGAAAATTTCTTCATTAAGTAACACATTCAAACGAAAAAGGTGAGGCGTGTCCAAACTTGCCCACTGTTGTCAATGGACATTTTGTCTGCAGAGCTGGGCAATCATCAAGCAGCACCAGCCAATTAGCCAGCCAGCCGAACACCTCATCAACCAATCAAACAACTTCATCATGCTGGCTCCAGTGCAATGATGACCACACAGCCATGTACCTGGAGGATACTGTCAGTCATGCGTGCATCAATAAAACTTGGAATTCCACCTTTTCTAACGGATCTGACACTGTCTTTTGCTTGAGTTAGTTCAAAGAAGTTGTTATGTAACACTCGTTCGCTTCAACCGTTGGCTAAATCATTTTAGGCTCGGTTAATGAAAATTTGATACAGAAATAGGAAGATCGTATTTGAACGCTTATAGGCCTACAGTGTTTGCTCGGCTGTTCAATCTGAGTTATATAAAAAAATTTTCATGCCAATTTTTAAATATAATGCGATTTTATAACTAAGCCCAGCAATATCTGTTATTTAGACTTTTCTGCAATTGCTGCGAAACGTAAGAAGAAATTTGTTAACAAACTGTGATTTGTTCTCTCTTCTTTGAATTCATTGTTATAAGTTCTCAATAAATCATCAAAAAATAATTTTGTGGTTGTGATTATTGTCATCAGGATCGCTACCCAAACCAATCGTGCAAGAATTAAGCATCAGATTTTCTGGAGACTGTCCTCAAAACGTACCAGACTTTAAGAAAAATTTTCCAAGGGCAATCGCATTTGCTTTCTATTCATGGAGCTTGTGTTACACATCTCAGTCGGCGTCATCATCATCATCATCATACTCGACTTACAACAACAAACTTGACTTATGTTCACTAAGCAACTTTCAGGAAGTTATGTGTTTGAAAAATGAAACTGCAAGGACGAAGCGACAGACATCACCTTCTGGAAGTGGTAGTAGTGGAGTTGTGACAACAATTGATGTCTGGAACAGTTCTTAGTTAGTCTTATTCCTTACAATCTTTCAATATTTCCCAAAACGTTTTATTATGTAACCTTTTAGTTTAACCATCTAATCTTCAACCTCTTTTTTTAAAAAAGTTTATTTCATGTAATGCATGAAAAAAACAAAACATGAAAAAGGGCCCTAAAAAAGATAAAATCTCAAATAAATAAAAACTCTACAATTTTTTTTATAAAAGTGTCTAAATCAATACAAAAAACAAATTAGTGACAAACCGTGAAACAAAAATAAATAAATAAAATAATGTACTTTGAAAAAGCAATATACACATATACACAAATGCATACACACATGTTCTCTGGTTAAAATCATTATACGATATATTGTTCGAATAGAACTAAAATCAAATTAATTAAAATTAATATTAAATTAAAATTAAGAAAAACAATAATAAAATAGCAACTATTGAAACTTTTTTTTATTGCATAACATGAATTTGTTATTTTTCCAAATTTGAATTCGCCACCGCCTCATAATCGTCGGACAGTTTGAAGAATTCGACCGACAAGTTAAAAAGCCTCATTTCAAACGGCGATTTCACAGTGGAGTACAATGGAGTGGAGTACAGGGCCATTCAGATGACCGACACACAGCTGCCTTCAAATAACTGCCCTTCCAAAACCATGCAGGTCGCTGGTGGGTTATGTGGTGAGTGATTAGTTGTTCATTAATTCATTTGTTCATCCATTAATTCATTTGTTCATTCATTTATTCATACATTCATTCATTAATTCATTCGTTAATTAATTAATTCATTCATTCATTCAGTCATTCATTCAGTCATACATACATACATACGTACAAATATGCATTCACTAATTCATTTCCTTTTTTGTTTATACATTCTTTCATTCGTTCATTTTTCAGTCGTTCTTTTAACAATTCAATTAACCAAACATTATCAATCAATCTATGTAATTGAATTACATTTAGCCTCAAAACGATTTTGAAGTACTTAATAACTTTTCTTCTTTCTACAAATATTTCATGCCTTGGGAAATGTTCAGACCTGCAGATGTGGTAGGAAGTGATAGTGAGACTGTTTATATGAACATCTCACAATAGAACATCAATTGAATGATGTATCTGACACGATCTGTGTTGTCCAATTAGACTGATCGATGTTTAATAAATTCATTTGCAGATATTTTTACAAATACATGTGTAATATATTTGGTTCATTGACGGCATCGAGCATTCATTTCTTTCCCACTGAACAGTTGAATGCCCGAGAGGGACGATGATGAAGGTGGACAGGTGCGTGGCATGCAGTAGGGGTACCTACCAGCCTGACCCCGGACAAACAACGTGTCAATCGTGCCCCTCTTCGATTCCATATTCCATTGCCGGAGCTTTCAGCCCCAACCAATGTGAGATCTCTTAGCTTTTTCAGTTTCAGATGAAGTGTACATTTCAGGGTTTAAATTAGTTACGAGTCGTTAACAACCACCACACACGCACACCACACACACGCACGGCGTAATTTGTCATTATCAATACAGTCAGATATATATATATTTTCCGGTACGATGTCGCGAGCGGTTTGCATTTACGAGTTATTGTGTTATTTATTTAATAATTTTAATAATTCTGACAAAATTGACGATGCGGAATTCATTTACGAAATAATGGATTTCTACAATTGTGAAGATATTAGAATAGCAAAAAAAATACTTACCAGCGATCTAGATGCATTAAATCTAGAAAAAGATGATAAAATAAAGCCAAACAGTTCTGGAAACTCTAAAAAGGACAAGGTTAGTGATTTAATACTAACAATAAAAACTATTCTGAGCAACAAAATTGAAAGCAAATTGCCTCAGTATGCTGCTCTCAACCTTTTTAAAATTCCAAGCTCAAAAAAAGCTAAATTTGAGTCAATTCTTGACGAAAAGTTAAAAAAATTAGAAGAACTATTTATTGAAGAAAGAAACATCTTCCGAGAAATAGTAAATGATGCGGCTATTAACAATAGCCCAAAAGTAGAAAGAAAGCAGCAATCCGATTGCAAAACCGAATCGAGCAAGCAATCTGACTGGTCAGAGATTGTAAAACGTAAAATTAAAAAGAGCTCAAATGTTCAACACGTGGCGAATGTTCAACACGTGGCGAATGTTCAACACGTGGCGAATGTTCAACACGTGGCGAATGTTCAACACGTGGCGAACATCAACATGTTGAAAACAAAGAAAAAAACACACAACACTAACATAGCAAATATGAAAACAGTTATAGGCACCCAAACTGATAAACAAACAAATTTGAAAGCGATGAAACCTTCGCCAAAAAGAAA